ATATATACACATACATACACACATATATATATATATACACACACACGTCATACACACCTTCATTTTCATTTTTCTGACTTCCAATGGAGTGAGACTATCTGCTTTGGCCAGCACAAGCACTATGTTGACCTTCTCATGTAGCATCTTCATGAACTCCACATCCATCGGTCTGAGACTGAAAAAAAGAGTCACACCCATAATTCCTGAGGTACATTTCCAGAACAAAATGCCACTGTAATTAAGATTGAGTAAAAACACCAGATTTACATTTTTTTATTATTAAACTGATTTAATCTCAAATAGTCTTATATCAATATGGGGTTTACAACAAGCAATGCTGATGCCAATATTTGGGAAAAAGCAACACAAATTCATAATTTCAAAATAGAACATGAGAATAGATTCTGGGACTAACTAAACACTTCTTTTTCAGATGATGCTGATAACTGAAAAATAAACTGAAACGGACCTGAACGGAGTTGTATTAACTGCAAACTATGCTTCTAACCACAGGTTAAGAGCTGTAGCTCTAACCATACAACTTTGTGATGCTGTTTGCAATTGTTCTTTGGAACTACAGTTTCAGGAAACACTGAATCATTGATTAATGACCGAACTTGTGTCCATAGTTGGCTAACAATGCTTTCAGGAAACCCAATCCTGGGTGAAATATTGATCACTATTTGTAAATGTCAGGGAGTGTTACCCGTGGCCAAAAGGTGAGATGAAGTAGAGGCAGCAGTGCACACGGTTGTCCTGAATGTTTTTACGGTTGAGGCCACTTTCGTCACGAAAGTATTGCTCAAACTGCTGGTCAATGTAGTCCACAACCGCCCTCCAGCTATTACAATTAACATAAAATTGAGGTTACAAAACTGAAAATGAGCAAAAGTATTTGATATAGTTACTTTGTATAAACAGTCACAAAAACAAATATTATTGTTAGTATTTGAGAGACAATATGACATAGAAAACATTTATTCTGAAAGATATGACTTCTAATAATAACTTCTGTATAATTTTCTAATAATTCACATTCCAGTTCCACCTCTCGGTGTTGTTGACAGCATCACCGAATCCCGGCGTATCCACAATGGTGAGTTTTAGTTTGACTCCTTTCTCCTCTATAGCCACAGTGTGTTTTGTGATTTCCACTGTCTGTGAGATCCGCTCTGAAATGGGTCAATGAAGAACAATAAAGATAAAGAAAACTTTATCTTTATCTTGTGTGCCAAGTTTTTAGATAT